ATTCTACCGCTCCTTTTAAGCACAAAACTTCGAAACTCGACCGCGTTCAACCTGCAGCCTATTGGCGGGAAAGTTTTCCCCTCCCATAGATTGGCTGGCGCTTATCGTAGGCGATCTCACAAGCACTGACTCACATGTCCATGTTTTTTCGTTAACTCGTGTCTTACTGCAGCCTTCTCCATTTGTACACACCAAACACATGGATTACACGACCATGACAATTTACCAACCCTGAAACCTAAGCGAAAACCCTAACCCTAAGCGAAAACCCTAACCCTAACCGAAAACCCTAATCGCAACTGAAAACGCTAACCCTAACCGAAAACCCTAATCCCAGCTGAAAACCCAAACCCTAACCCTGTGGCAAGTTGCTTTTAGTCCATAATATAGCGGTAAGAGTTGAGTTGTAAAGCATACTAACATAACTTAAACTAGTACTTACAAGGCTTTGCGGTGGAACATCGGCATTCAGCGAGGGACAACATCTGTAGCAGAAAAAGAGAAACAATTGTTTCAGCGACCACAGTCTCATTGTGCTCGCGCGTTCAACCGCCTACTCCCCAGGCGCTGTGCCATATTGCTTGAACACCGCCGCCTCAGCCATAAATGGGGAAAGCAAGGTTTTTCAAGAAGCAAGCCAGCCATTTCACCACACAGTGTCTGTTGAAGAAACAACAAAAAGGAAGATGTCAGGAAGAGGTAAAGGAGGCAAGGGTCTGGGTAAGGGCGGCGCGAAGCGTCACCGCAAAGTTCTGCGTGATAACATCCAGGGTATCACTAAGCCAGCCATCCGCCGTCTGGCCAGGCGAGGAGGTGTCAAGCGTATCTCCGGACTCATCTATGAAGAGACCAGAGGTGTTCTTAAGGTGTTCCTTGAGAACGTCATTCGCGATGCCGTCACCTACACCGAGCATGCCAAGAGGAAGACCGTCACTGCCATGGACGTCGTCTACGCCCTGAAACGCCAAGGCCGCACTCTGTACGGATTTGGAGGTTGATCAAGCTACCGAAGTCAGACCCAAAATACGGCCCTTTTCAGGGCCCCCACAGCGCTTCTAATTAACACCCTTTCTGCTAGATTGCCACGAGTTCGCACATTGTTGTTATTGCTTGTATGTACGCCGCCACGTGGGCGCTTCTCTCTCTCTCTCTCTCTCTCTCTCTCTCTCTCTCTCTCACACACACACAAATAAATAAAACAAAAGGAACCGTTTACAAGCTACACTTAACAATAAGCATTTATTGCATACAATAAGAAACACTCACGCGCACACACACAAGATAAATAACTGAGCGTATGGTTTAGTTTAGTCGACACAACAAGCCGTGTGCATACTTTATCATACAGTTTCTTACACACATCAGTCATCTTCGCAAATTTCATCCAGTCTTACACCACACCCAAACACATCAAGCGTGGGGTGCCCGCATCTACATAGATAACAAACTAAGTCGCACCTTCAATGATAGCGGCTTCTCACTGTGTTAAGGCGATCAATACTATTTCAGTCCCAAGACAATCCCTTGTTACTAGGCACACCCGTGATTACCACCTTCGCTCGGATTTGCCGCCTTTGATCGGCGGCTACTCGCCGCGCGCGGCACGTCTCTTTGATGTATCGCTTCGAGCCGACCACCGCAGAATGTACGGACGGGAACGATTTTCAGGGACACTAAAGATAAAAGGATGACGCCCGTGACGAGATCAAAGGTAAACGAAACTCTCGTGCATTCGGGAAAATGGTTACACTGGTAAATTAAATGTGGGCCCTGAAAAGGGCCGTGTTAGGGCGCTCAAATGCTGGCGACTTATTTATTTCGAGGTGGTGTACTTGGTGACTGCCTTGGTACCTTCACTGACTGCGTGCTTGGCCAGCTCACCGGGCAGGAGGAGACGGACAGCTGTCTGAATCTCCCTGGAGGTGATGGTGCTACGCTTGTTGTAGTGGGCCAGGCGACTGGCTTCGGCGGAAATGCGCTCGAAGATGTCGTTGACGAAGGAGTTCATGATGGACATGGCTTTGCTAGAAATGCCAGTGTCTGGGTGCACCTGCTTCAGCACTTTGTAGATGTAGATGCTGTAGCTCTCCTTTCGCCTCCTCTTCTTTTTCTTGTCTCCGGTCCTCACTGCCTTGGCTTTGCCGGCTTTTTTGGCTCCCTTTTTTTTTTTTTTTTTTTTTTTTTTTTTTTTTTTTTAAATTAATTTTATTGAATGTTAAAATGGGTCTGTGTACAAAGCTGCGTGGTTTCTGTTTTGTGCGTATTTTATTTACAGGCGTCTGCGATGTGCGTATTTTGTCGTGTTCTTTACATATGTTGCCATGTGTTTGGTATTATGTTGCAGGTGTGTGCGTCATTTTAATATTTATACATTTATACACAGGGAGGTTAACTGAGAAATCAGTTGGTTTAGTGTTAGATTTAAGAATTTGAAGTGTGCCTTGATGCACATAAGAGGTAGCAGCGGGACAGGGCAAGGGGGGCAGGCTAGAGAAAGAAGGGGGGGGGGGGGTTAGGGTTGTAATACAGTTAGGTTTCAGAGGGATAGCAGAGATAGGGTGTGGTATTCGTTGATTTTCTTTCAGTAGGTTATATCTTCTTCTGCTTACAGTCTGTTTTTGGCAATCTCCCTGGAGAGGCTTTTTCCTTGTGTTTCTGTTGTGGGCTCGTTTCAGACTAGATTGCAATCTCGGGGGGGGGGGGGGGGGGGGGGTGGGAATGAAGCGGTTGATATAACCATTCACTAAAAATATGCTACGTGATCTGAAATACGCAATTTACATCAAAACATCAATAAAGGGTAGGGAGAAGTATAGGAAAGTGTTAAAGCATCTTGTCACAGTAAGGGAAAAACAGAGGTTTATTAAGGCTTTTTGGAGAGTCGAGATGGATGAGAAGAGGTAGAGAGGATTTAAGAGGAGAGAGAGAAGATAAGGGAATTAAGAAAGGTTTATTTTAGATAACCAGAGAAAACAAGAGGGAAGAGAAGGACCAAGTCTCTCTGAAAGAAAGGGTCCTTATTTCAGTAACATAACAATGCATCTTAAAACATATTACTTAATCTCAAATGAGCAATTTACATGAAAACATCAATACATTAGATAACGTTATAGGAGAAAATTAGAAACCTTATGAAAGAGAGAACAGAGATGAATTATAAACTGTCAGAGAGTAGAGATGAAGAAGGAGAGATAGAGAAGATTTGGTGGGGAGAGAGAGATGAGGATTTAAGAGGAGTAGTTATAGTATAACAGAGCTAAACCGGGAGGGAAAGGAAGGACAAAGTACCTTCCCCAAGAGGAAGGGGGCCTTATAATAAGGTAACTTAAAACATATCAATTTATCTAAATACAAGCAATTGGCATTAGGACATCAATAAAAATGGAGAGAAGCATTGAAGAAACTTTTCACAGAGAAAAAGACATTAATGAGGCTAGTAGAGAGTAGAGATAGAGAGGGAGAGAGAAGGGGAGAAGAAAAGTAACAAAGAATAGTTATAGGTCATCAAGTAAAGAACAGAAAGGTCAATATATATTTGCAATAGAGGGGAGGGGGGGGGGGGGGACCTTATTCCGGGTCGAAAATTCTCATCAGTGTATGTTGGAATCGTTCTGCAATATGATTTCCAGGACATTTTATTCCTTCAAAAATTACTTTACATCTATGAAACCAAAGTTGTACACGGTATTCTGCAAGTGCAGACAGGACTTTGATTTCGTTCTCTTTAGTCATATTAGGAATAGTATTTAAAAATATTGCTCTGTAAGCATTAATTTGTGTATTTGTGTATTTGTGTATAGCTGTTTTTAAATTTTTAAGTGTCGTTCGTACCGCTGGGCAGGTATAAAATAGGTGTTCTTCTGTTTCGTTTTCATTTGTTGTACATAAGCTACATGATGTTTTTCTTTTTATTTTTGTTTTGGCTTTTCTCTTTATGGGGGTAATGTTGAAAATCAATCTGTATGTAATTTCTTTTCCTACCGGTGTTATGTATGGTTTGTGTATGTTTTTAAAGGAGGTGAAATGATTTGTCCTAGGAAAGGTTAAGCCTCTTTTTATTCTGAGGTATAGAGGAGGTGCTTGTTTGATTATTAGTTTTGTGTAGATCTGTTTTGTTGTCTGCTGTATTTGTTGTTCGTTGCCTTTCAGATTTTGTAGACAAGTTTTGTAAAAAGAAGGGAGGGGTCCTGAAAAATGTGGTGAAGTATTATCTAATTTTTTAAGATGTATAAGTTTTAGAGCTAGGTAATACATTGCTAGGGGAAATGTTCCTGGACTTTTAATTATTTGACCTATATATTTAATTCTAAGGGAACTAATTTTAGTTTTTATATCATGTAGTCCTACTCCCCCCTGTAATTTACTTTGAATTAGGGTATTTTGTTGTATTGCATATATTGTGCTGCCAAAAAGGAAGGGTCTAATTTTTTTGTTTATTTCTTTAATAACTTTTTTGGGGGGATCTATTACTGTGGCTATATATATTAGTTTTGGTACTACATAAGTATTTATTATCCTACTTCTATCAAAAATTGTGTTGGTTCTATATTTATGCGTTTCTAATATTTTAGTTATATCTATCAAAAGGGTTTCCCATGTCTGTTTATCTATTTCATTTGGAATATTTAGGAAATTTATGCCATAAATTTTTAGTTTTTTGGTATTTATTAGTTCTGGGGGGAAAATATTTTTTTATTTAGCCAGGTTCCTAATCCCATTATGTATGATTTATTAACGTTTATTTTAGCCCCGCTAGCTTTCCCAAATTCTTCAAATGTGTCTAATATTTTAGTGATCGAAGCAAGTCTGGAGGGGAAGAAAGCAGTGTCATCAGCATATGCGATTAACTTTCTTTCTCCCGCCCCAGGTACTTGTGTGCCTTTGATACTATTATCCTGCCTAATTTTCTCTAAGATTGGTTCTAGGGCCAGAACGTACAGCAATGGAGAGAGAGGACAACCCTGTCTCACGGATCTTGCAATCCGGAAACCCGAGGTGAGCGTGTGGTTTACCAACACCTTACTCTCGGGGTCCCGGTACAACATCTTGATCCATTCTATAAATTTCGGCCCCAGATTACACTTTTCTAAAACTCTAAATAAATATTTATGGGAAATTCTATCAAAGGCCTTTTCCTGATCTAAAGAGAGTATGGAGGTTTGGCTACTTGTATGGTGTGCGTATTGTATAAAATCTCGTATGAAGTGTGTGTGATTGTGAATATTTCTGTCCTTAACACTGCATTGTTGGTCTGGATGTATTAATTTGGCCATTACTGGTTTTAATCTATTTGTTAGTGTTTTAGCTAAAATTTTATAGTCTGTGTTTAGGAGGGATATTGGTCTATAGTTTTTTAATAGGGTTTTGTCTGTACTGTCTTTAGGTATCAGTGTTATGTATGACATGTTAAATTTTTGGGGTAATTTTTGTCTGTTAAAGGCGTGTTGATAGACTTTGAGGAGAAGCGGTCCTAAGATAGGAAAGAAGTGCTGGTAGAATTCTAATGTAAGGCCGTCAGGCCCTGGAGTTTTATCTTTGTTCATTTGTTTTAGTGTCTGTGTGATTTCGTTTATAGTTATATCTGCTTCTAATGTTTCGCTTTCTGCTTCTGTAATTTTTTTGGAGTATTCTAAAAATATGTCTTGTGTGGTGGTATCTGTGTTTTCTTCTCTAAAAAGTGATTCGTAGAATTCTCCAAAGGCTGTTTTAATCTTTTCTGGGTCTGTTTGCATGTGGCCTTGGGTGTCAATTATTTTGTTTATTTGTTTATTTTTTTGGATATTGTTTTCTATTTTTATGTCTTGTGGGTTTGGTGTATTTTTTAAAGGTAGTTTTGTTCTTAATTGTGCCCCTGAATATTTATACTGTTGAAGTGTTTCTAAATCCTTTTCTAAATTTGCAATGTGGGGTGAATTTTGGTCATTTGTTTTCATTTGTTTAATTTCTTCTTTTAAAATTTTTTCTCTTTGTAGTCTTTTTTTATGTGTTATGTATGCGAGTCTTTGTGTTCTTTCTCTAACTGATTCTTTGAAAAAATTCCAATAAGTGTCTAGGTTAGTTTCAGGTGTGTCGTTAACATAGCCTAAAATGTGGTCTGTCATGTATTCTGTAAACTTTGTGTCGCTGAGGAGTGTATTGTTGAAGATCCAGTGCATTGGTGTTTTGGTTGTTGGTGGTTTTATATTCCCTATGCCTATTTCTGCTATTATTCCTTTGTGATCTGTGTACTCCAGTGTCTCGTCTAAGTGTGCTACTTCTATTATTTGGTGTGTGTTTGGTACATAAATTCTGTCTAATCTAGCTTCATTTTTAAAACCTATGTTTGTGTGTGTTGTGTCTGTGCTGTTTGGGTGTTTGTTTCTAAAGGAGTCTGTTAATTCATTTGCTGTTATTATATTTTTTAATGTATCTAGTTGATTTTGTGAATTTCTGGCGATTCTTCTCAGCTGTGCCCGGACAGTCCTGCCTTTAACGTCCAGGTCTGTCAAGACACAGTTGAAATCACCCGCCAAAATTATATTTCCTTCTTTAGAGAATGTTGTTATTGTGTCGCTTAATTTTTGGAAAAAAGCTGGTTGGTGGTCGTAATTCCAGGGTGCGTGTATATTAACTAACGTGTACGAATAAATATTGTTTGTAACTTTTGAGATGCACAGTTTTCCTGTGTCATCTATATGTGTATCTGTGATTTTCCATCTGTCCGATGTCTGGAGTATAGCTGTTCCTGCTCCTACCTGCTGGTGTGAGAGATTATAGACAGAGTCGGTAAGACCTAGCTGTCGTGTAATTTTTTGGGCCAACCAGCTTGTGTTGATGTTTGTTTCTTGTAGAAATATAAAATCTGGTTTGTGTTTTTTAATCAGTTGTACTATATGTTTTTGTTTGGATCTAAGTCCTCTTATATTAACACTCAGCAACCTTATCCTATTCTCCATTCGTCAAAATAAATAAGGGTAATATAATAACAATGGAAAAACAGGCAGTACAAAGCTAAATGCTAAAACACGAGGAAAAGATCAAAAGGATGAAATTGTCAAATTAATTTTCCTTTTTGAAGAATTTGGAAATCAGTTTTTGTTTTTTTTTGAAAAAGTTGTATGCTTTAATTTGCTCCCTCTGTCCCCGAAGACAGAGGTTGGTCCGGGGATGAAGGCTGTGACGAGTCTGTTGTAATTGTATCTGATAGGCTGTCATCAGCTTCTGAATTTTCACTAAAAACGGCGAAACCGCTGTTTTTGTCGTTTTCGTCCTCTTCTTGTCTGCTTTCGTTGTCACTTGTCTGATTGGTCGGTTGAGGTATTTCGTTCTTCGGGTTATTTTCGGTGGCGATGACAGTCGCTGTAGGATCTGTTTCTTTGCCGCCATCTTGCATGATTGATGGCATGATGTCAGGAGACCCGATTTTCTCCTTTTTAGCTGGTTTCTGTGCCACAGGAGACGTCTCGAGGGACTTGTCTTCCCTGGTGGCCTCGATGGCTCTCTTCTTGGAGTTTGAGGCCCTCCGGGGTGTGTCCACCTCGCGTCTCTCCGGAACCTGGTCGGTCGGCTCCGGAGTTGGGTCAGTGTCGTCGCTCGGAAGGTTCTCCTCATATAGAACGCTGAACGTGTTTGTTGTGAAATAGTCCGACGCGGCAAAGTTGTGCTTGGCTTTGGGTTGGTAGCCCTTGTTCCGGCCAGCGACCTTCTGATAGCCGTCTGCGTCTACGTCTATTTGTGCATCCGCTCTCAGGAGCGGCTCACATGTTGGGTTGGTGGCCCCGCTGAAAGCCGGGGGGTTGTCACTTTGGCCGGATCTTGACCATGCCGGTCCTGAGCGTCTTGGCTCAGTCTGTCTCTGCTTTTTCATTGGACAGGTGCCAACCCAATGGCCCACTTCGTCGCATACCGGACATGGAGTTTGTCTCCCAGGGATGATGATATGGATCCTGTAACTCGGGATCCCTGGAGTGTTAATCTGAGCATAATGGGGGATCTGTTTCCCCTTCTCCGGGATGCATGTAGCCCTCCACCTTCTCTCCCTGCCTGTAATCGCGTTTACTTCCGGGTTATTATCACCGGTGATGGCTTTTACAATGTCTCGGACCCCTTCTTTGTCTAAAGTTGGTGGGATCCAATTCAGTTCAAAGATTGTTTTTTCCAAATCTTGAAGGGAGGCTTGGATAACAAAGGTATCAGACGGTGGTAAAGGCGGAAAAGTTAAAGGCAAGTCCAAGTCCCGCTCCTCCAGGGCAGGTCTGCAGTTCCCAGTGGGTCGTATTCACCGTCTGCTGAGAAAAGGCAACTATGCTGAACGTGTCGGTGCTGGCGCACCCGTGTACCTGGCTGCTGTGCTGGAGTACCTAGCCGCTGAGGTCCTGGAGTTGGCCGGCAATGCTGCCCGCGACAACAAGAAAACCAGAATCATCCCTCGTCACCTTCAGCTTGCCATCCGCAATGACGAGGAGTTGAACAAGCTCCTGTCTGGTGTCACCATCGCCCAGGGTGGTGTGCTGCCTAACATCCAGGCTGTGCTCCTGCCCAAGAAGTCGCAGAAAGCCCCCGGAAAAAGCTAAACAAATACCAGTAAGCTCCGTCGATTTACAAACAATGTCCTTTTCAGGACAAACACTCCATCACCGATGACATCTCCCTCCGAGTTTCGCACTGAGTTCGTCAACACATGCATCATTCACATCAATCGCACTGACTGCTGCTGAATACATAACATGCAAGCATACACGCAAGCAAGCAAACAAATTTAAAAAAAAAAAAAAAAAAAAAAAAAAAAAAAAAAAAAAAAAAAGAGTCGGTCAAGCGCTGCTGATTTCTCTGCGTCGGCGAGCTGGCGCGGTTCAATCGGGCTGGACAAGGTGCGACCATCGTTCGACTGAACGATAGCTCCACTACGGCTGGCGGCACCTCTGATCTGACGCAACAAGGTGTGAAATCTGGTCGTCGCCCGCGTATCAGTCTTCTTCGGGCGTGAAGACGCGCTATCGCTGACGTAATCGCGAGTCGGTTCGCTGACTTTCTTGGCGGGCAGTCTGGCTTCGTGTGAAGCGAGCGACCAGAAAATAATGTACACGTGGCTAGACATGTCGTTAGAGTACCTGACTAATTATCTCCCCTGGTGAAAAAAAAAAAAAAAAGACCCCAAAAAAAAAAAAAAAAAAAAAAAAAAAATGGCCGAAATTCATGCAATCACCGACTATGTGGGCTGCTAGCTGACACCACATCTTGTCTACGGCCATACCACGTTGAAAATACCGGTTCTCGTCCGATCACCGAAGTCAAGCAACGTCGGGCGTGTTTAGTACTTAGATGGGTGACCGCTTGGGAACAGCACGTGTTGTAGACACCTTTTTTGGGTACTTTCTTGAAAATACTCCTTTGTTGTCGTGTCCACGTGTTAGTAGGATGTCAGCATCCGCCAATGGGAAAAAAAAAAAACAGTGTTTCCCGCCTATTCAACGGAGGTCAGACGACACACATCAAAGCCCCATGAAACAATAACTTGATTGGTTGCCATTAAGGTAGTTAAAATGGGCGGAGAGAGCCTGCCCGTCTCCGGCCCGGGTAGCACGTGGTCATCGTTATTATGCAATCGAATCACCGGGCTTTGTTTAAATTAGCATGACCTAATGTTACGTTTAGATAACGGCCTACTGCAGACTGACAGAAGTTTTCGGGTTAGGGTTTAGGTGAGAACTCGTGGGTGCAATCAGCAGTAGATGCCATTAGGGGTGTAATGGGTGGTCCTAAAAAGGACCGTTGTGTGTAGGAGCAGGACCGGTGCACTTAAGCGCGCTCTCCGCGGATACGCCTAGCCAGCTGAATATCCTTGGGCATAATGGTGACCCTCTTGGCATGGATGGCGCACAAGTTGGTGTCCTCAAAGAGACCCACCAGGTAGGCTTCACTGGCCTCTTGCAGAGCCATAACAGCGGAGCTCTGGAATCGCAAGTCGGTCTTGAAGTCCTGGGCGATTTCCCTCACCAAACGCTGGAAGGGTAGCTTGCGGATGAGCAGCTCAGTGCTCTTCTGGTAACGACGGATCTCTCGCAGAGCCACGGTGCCAGGCCTGTAACGATGGGGCTTCTTGACGCCACCTGTGGCCGGTGCCGACTTTCTGGCAGCCTTGGTGGCTAGCTGTTTACGGGGAGCTTTGCCTCCAGTCGATTTCCTGGCGGTTTGCTTGGTACGGGCCATTTTCTGGTTTGTTTGATTTTTCGACGGTTGTGACAAACAACGCAGCGGATTTGAGTTGAATTGCCGGGAAAAAATTCTACTCCCCCTTTTCAGCACAAAACTTCGAAACTCGACCGCGTTCAACCTGCAGCCTATTGGCGGGAATGCACTCCCCTCCCACAGATTGGCTGGCGCTTATCGTAAGCGATCTCACAAGCACCAACTGATATGTCCATGTGTTTTCGTCCATCTTACTTCCCCATTTTCCATTTGTACACACCAAACACATGGAGGAGTACACGGCCACGACAATTTACCAACCCTGAAAAAACCTCACCGAAACCCCCTAACCCTAACCGAAACACCTAACCCTAACCGAAAAACCTAACCCCCACTGAAAACCCTAAACCCCTAACCTAACACCACCCTATCCCTATAGAAAGTTGCTAGCAAGTCCATAATCGAGCTGTAAAGCATACATACTAACACGACTAAAACTAGTACTTACAAGGCTTTGCGGTGTAACATCGGCAGTCAGCGAGTGTCAGGCGAGGGACACCATCTGTAGCAACAACAACAAAATTGTTAGTTTCAGCGACCATAGTCTCATTGTGCTCGCGCGTTCAACCGCCTACTCCCCAGGTGCTGTGCCATATTGCCTGAACACCGCCGCCTAATCTATAAATGGGAAAACCGCGCTGTGCAGTGCAGTCAGTCAGTCAGTCAGTCAGTCAGTCAGTCAGTCAGTTACAGAAACAACAATGTCAGGAAGAGGTAAAGGAGGCAAGGGTCTGGGTAAGGGTGGCGCCAAGCGTCACCGCAAAGTTCTGCGTGATAACATCCAGGGTATCACTAAGCCAGCCATCCGCCGTCTGGCCAGGCGAGGAGGTGTCAAGCGTATCTCTGGACTCATCTATGAGGAGACCAGAGGTGTTCTTAAGGTGTTCCTTGAGAACGTTATTCGCGATGCCGTCACCTACACCGAGCATGCCAAGAGGAAGACCGTCACTGCCATGGACGTCGTCTACGCCCTGAAACGCCAAGGCCGCACTCTGTACGGATTTGGAGGTTAATCAAGCTACCGAAGTCAGACCATAAAATACGGCCCTTTTCAGGGCCCCCACAACGCTTCTAATTAACACCCTCTCTGCTAGATTGCCACGAGTTCGCACATTGTTGTTGTTGCCTGTTTGTTTGTTCGCCGCCACGTGGGCGCTTCTCTCTCTCTCTCTCTCTCTCTCTCTCTCTCTCTCTCTCTCTCTCTCTCTCTCTCTCTCTCTCTCTCTCTCTCTCACACAAATAAATAAAACAAAAGAAAGAAACCTTTAACAAGCTACACTTTACAATACAACAATAAGCTTTTGTTGCATACAATAACAAACACTCGCGCGCGTACACGCACGCACACACACACACACACACACACACACACACAAGATAAAATAACTTAGCGTATGGTTTAGTTTAGTCGACGCAACGCAACAAGCCGTTTGTGCCGCGTGCATACTTTATCATACAGTGTCTTTACACGCATCAGTCATCTTCGCAAATTTCATCCAGTCTTTTACCACAACTAAACACATCAAGCGTGGGGTGCCGCATCTACATAGATAACAAACTAAGTCGCACCTTCAATGATAGCGGCTTTTCACTGTGTTGAGCCGACCAACACTATTTCAGTCCCGAAACAATCCCTTATTACCAGGCACACCCGTGATTACCACATTCGCTCGGATTTCCGCCTTTGATCGGCGGCTACTCGCCGCACGCGGCACGTTTCTTTGATGTATCGCTTCGAGCCGACCACCGCAGAATGTACGGACGGGAACGAATTTCAGGGACACTACAGATAAAAGGATGACGCCGGTGACGAGATCAAAGGCAAACGAAACTCTCGTGCATTCGGGAAAATGTTTAAACTGTTAAATTAAATGTGGGCCCTGAAAAGGGCCTTGTGTTAGGGCGCTTGCTCAATGCTAGCGGCTTATTTATTTCGACGTGGTGTACTTGGTGACTGCCTTGGTACCTTCACTGACTGCGTGCTTGGCCAGCTCACCGGGCAGGAGGAGACGGACAGCTGTCTGGATCTCCCTGGAGGTGATGGTGCTGCGCTTGTTGTAGTGGGCCAGGCGACTGGCTTCGGCGGAAATGCGCTCGAAGATGTCGTTGACGAAGGAGTTCATGATGGACATGGCTTTGCTAGAAATGCCAGTGTCTGGGTGCACCTGGACAACATTCACTGACCAGAGGACAGGAGAGCCTGCAAATGGAACATTTCTCACGGTCTAGTCATCTGTTAATGCACCAAGCCACATAAGAGCCTGCAAATGGAACATTTCTCACGGTGTAGTCATCTGTTAATGCACCAAGCCACATAAGAGCCTGCAAATGGAACATTTCTCACGGTGTAGTCATCTGTTAATGCACCAAGCCACATGCCTACCATATTATGAGGTCAATAACAAGAACTTCATAAATAAAGACTTTTAAAACTCACAGATTCTTGCTTGACGGACGGAGCCCTCTACTCCATTATGTGCAGTTCTGTAATTCCCTGAAAAGTAACATGTAAATAAATTATGCAGACATGTCAACAGCTGAAACAAATCAACATAAATTATGCAGACATGTCAACCACTGAAACAAATCAACATAAATTATGCAGACATGTCAACCACTGAAACAAATCAACATAAATAAATTATTGAGAGCATATGCTATCCAGTGCAGGGCTATTCAACTCAGTTTGCTTGTGGGTCAGAATGTTGAACATGAAGATAATCACCAAACCAGTGGCTCGAGCCCACACTATAACTGACAACATTTTCAATCTATACATGTAATACACTCACAATCTATTACACCTAGGACATAGCCTATATAAATGAAGCAGTGTTGTAGACCATAATAATGTAAAGTGTACTACAATCTTCTGTAATTAGTCATTATTACTCATTATTAATTCTTCTTCTGCTTCTTTGTATTCACCAGCTGTAAAATCCAGCGGAAGGTTCTGGTTATACATCTCACATCTACTTCTGGACTCTAATCCTGATCCATAAACTGAGTGTTGTGTACACATCCATTTCACATGTCTTACTGATTTGCGTGCAGACTGTTGGTTCCTTGGCTAATATTTTCTGACTTCAAAGGAAGCTCCCAGTTAGTCGACTCTTGCCACGATCTTTTGCGCAGGCAGTGGTTCTATTTTGGTTTCCCAACAACAGGCCCCCGGAACCCACACAGGGATCCCTTTTAATCGACACACACACATTTCCAAACTGTCATTGGGATCACAAATAAACATTGTCACTTCCGTTACCTTGTCATTATAATAATAATAATAACCAGTTGGTTTCATATTCTGCAGAAGATATCAAACGCTATTATCATCATCATCATTAGGTGCCTTGCCAAACGGCGTAGGCGATCATGCCTCTCCATAATTCATGATCTCCTGCAGCATGTATCAGTTCGTATGCCGACACACCTCTATGCCATGCAACAAGACTCAAGAATCTTCTCTCGTCTTCTACCTCTATCCCTACTTCCACAGATCTTTCCAGTGGTCACAACACATTCTATTTTCCCTCTTCTCATGACATGGCTGAAAAATGATGACTGTCTCCTTCTGATGTCTGTCATCAGTTGTCTTCGGGTTCCCGCCTCTTTCAAAACCTCTTAGTTGCTCTTTTTGGCTGTCCAAGGTATTTTAAGCATTCGTCTGTAAAACCATATCTCTGAGGCCTCAAGAAATTGTTTGGCCTGCCTACCAATTGTCCAGGATTCACAGCCATATGTTAAAACTGGATGTATGTAGCAAGCAAGAATTATTTTTCTAACTCTCAATGACAAGGATATATCGCACAAGATTTTCATTTTATAAAATGCAGTTTCTCCCAGTCATATTCTGTTTCTTATCTCATTTATGCATCTTCCATCATCTGATGTTATCCATGTGCCCAGATACTTAAATTTCTGTACGTCCTAAAAAAAACACCATGGACTTTTATTAAACATTTAGGAATATTCGTTCTTTTGAAAAAAACTATTACTTCCGTCTTTCCATTATTCAAACTGAGGCCCATTCTTCCATTTTATATCACCACAATGGCTATCATTTCCTGTAGTTCTTTCTCACTTGTTGCTATCAAAGACTGTGTCATCAGTATAACCTAAATTGCTTCTGTTGGGCCCACCAACCACAATTCCAGGCATATCAATTAAAGATATCATTATATATTCACTGCATATTGAAAACAAATCAGGTGATAGTACACATCCTTGTCGTACGCCCCTCTTCATGCTTTGAAATGTACCTCAACAGTTAATTCTTATAGCTGCTGTTTGCTGCCAATACATATTCTTTAATATTCGTATATCTTTTCTATCAATGTTAAATTTTTCTAACAGTTTGATTACTTCTTTTAGATTCACAGTCAAACGCTTTTGTATAGTCTATGAAGCATAATTACATATCAGTCTTCACTTCTATAGCTCTTTCTGACACTGTCCTTGGGATGTATATGGCATTGTTTGTACCTTTTCTTTCTACAAATCCACATCATTCATTGCTGATTTCTGGTTTCATTTTGTTTCTTATTCTTATCATAATTATTCTCAGAAAAATCTTAGTCATGTGACTCATAAGACTTATTGTGTGATGGTCTTCACATTTTAAAGTGCCTGGTTTCTTTGGCAGAGCTATAAATATGGATTTAAAAAGGCCATTTGGAATATACCCACTATCATAAATATCATTTAAAAGTTTACTTATTATTTCAGTTCCTAAATCTCACAGTGCTATGATTTCTTCTAGTGAGATGTTGTCTGGCCCAGGTGCTTTTCCTTTCTTCATATTATGTAATGCATCCTCAACATCTGCATTTATTATTGGTGGACCGTGATTGTTGGTCTGCAGTTCTACATCTGGTCTATTATCATCATACAGTTCACCTATATACTCTGTCCATCTGCTAATTATATTACTATGTCCCATTAATAAGTCACCATTTTTTTTTTCAAGCATCCAGTGCTGTTACGCGTCATCTTTCCTGTTAACATATTCATCTGTTGGTACATGGAATGCGAGTCTTTCCTGTGATTTTACCCAATCTCTGTTCACATTTAATTCAGCCAGGCTTCTTTAGCCACTTTGCATTTGTTCACTATTTCTTTTTGAATTCTAGAGTATTCCTCTTTATCATTCTTTTTCTTTCTTCTTTCATCCATCAACTGCAGAATATCAGTTGACATCCATTTCTATTTCTATTTTGCACCTCTATGGGTTGGTGGGATTGTCTCTTTTGATGTCTGCTGAACTGACTCACGCAAGATATACCACAGTTCATCAATAATCTGTATAATTTCCATTGCATTATACCGATTTTGTAGCTCCTGGGGTAGGAGCCTGTCCTACTACTAGGCGCGTCCACCAGGTGGCGGATGGTGGAAAGGCCTCTAGATATAGAGGTTACCCACGAATATATTGAATAAGTGGCCGTGGACCAAAACAGCTGATGGTCATTGAGAGGAGGCGAGTTAGTTGGTGGGACAGCTAACTCTATAAAATACCTCAAAACTCTACATGACCATCGAAGGGTTAAGAGGTGCCATAACCTCTTCCCTCTTCTGCCTTCCAGGGTAAGTCTCTTTAGACAAAGGCTATTGGAGTCACACCGCTGTATTATCCCTAGTCAATCATGCCTAAAAAGGTATAACAATGCAAAAATATAATTATTGGAAAATACTGCATTTTTGTTTTTGAGCTAATTTGGCTGGTGTTAAGTTAAAGCAATTCTCATGCAATCCTGCAGCTTATCATATCACTGCTAGGTAAGCTCCAACTGTTTGTCCTGATGACATGCATGTGTGAAAAACTTATGGACAGACCAGAGCAAGTTATTATTCTACGTCTTAGAATAGAACACACACGACTTCGCAGCCACATTTGCACACAATTTAAAATCGGCGAATCAGCTAAGTGCACATGGGGACTGGCACCTGAAACAACAAATCATGTCCTCCAAGACTGTCCCAAATACAACATTTCAAGGCAAAACTTTTGACAAAA